ACTTCGCGACGAAGCGTGAGAGTGACGTTAACATGCCGTTCATGATCTGTATCGACTTCTTCGATGTCGGAGTCGGGAGATCGGCGAATGCTCGACACTTGTCGGGGTTGGCTTCAATCCCTCGTTCTGTTAGATAGAATCCGAGGAATTTTCCTGCCTTAACCCCAAACGTGCACTTCTCGGGGTTGAACCTCATTTTGCACTGTCTTGCTTGGGCGAAGACTGTTTTGAGATGAGCTGCGTGGTCGGTATCTGCTCGAGATTTGACGATCATGTCGTCCATATATACCTCGAGCATGTCGCCAATTTGTTTGTTGAACACTTCGTTCATCATGCGTTGGTAAGTCGCGCCGGCGTTCTTTAGTCCGAAGGGCATTACGTTGTAGTAATAGTTGCCCGAGCTGGTCATGAACGCCGTGCAGCGTTTGTCGCCCAGGGCCATTGGGATTTGATTGTATCCCGAGTAGGCGTCCATGAACGACAAAGTCTTGTAGCCGGCCGAGTTGTCGACCAGCATGTCGATGTTAGGTAGAGGGAAAGCGTCCTTCGGGCAAGCCCGGTTGAGATCGGTATAGTCAACACACATTCTCCATTTTCCATTATTCTTTTTGACAAGTACAACATTTGACAGCCAAGTGGAATACCGGGCTTCAGAAATAAAATTTGCCTCTAAGAGGTCTTTTACAGCTTTTTCAGCAGCCTCCGTTTTTTCTGGAGACTGCCTACGCCTACGTTGTACTACGGCCTTGGCGGCTGGATCAATGGCGAGGTGATGACAGGCGACCTCGGGGTCGAGTCCGGGCATCTCTGCAGCGCTCCAGGCGAAGAGATCAGCATTCTCGCGCAGACAGGCCTTGATTTGCTTCCTGGCCAAGTCGGGGAGGTCTTTGCCAATCTTCACTCCCTTGGTCGGGTCTGCTCCGAGGGGAACGAGTTCGAAATCGCCGTTCGGAATAGGTCGGAGGGGGATTTGCTCGCTGCTGGCCGGCTCGTCTTGGTCAAAACGGGCGTCGAGCGCAATGGAGTCAACCTTTGGTGGAGCCTTCTGAACTTCTACCTCAGGAGATGCTCTGTCGGGCTCTTGCTTTGTCTTCTTGATGGGCCTAGTGCTGGGACCCACGTCGACAGTATCCCGACCCCTTGAAGCGGCGTTGAAGCACCTGCGGGCAGCAGCGAGGTCGCCCTGGATGGTGGCTACCCTCGCCCTCTTGGTATAGAACTTCATTTTTAGGTGGACAGTTGATGGGACCGCTGTCAGCTCCGCCAATGTCGGCCTCCCCAAGATGCAATTGTACAGGGACGGGCAGTCAATGACGAGGAAGCGGACCTTCACCTGTCTTGTAGCAGTTCCTTCCCCGAATGTCACGAGGAGCTCGACATATCCCCAAGGTTTGGACGTCGAGCCGTTGAAGCCTTGAAGGTCCGAACCTATATATGGAGACAGATGGGAGTCGTCCAGTTGTAAGGTCCGGAACAGCTGGGTGTACATCACGTCGACGGAACTCCCTTCGTCGACCAGGATGCGATGCACGTCAAAATTGGCCATCTTTGCCCTTATCAGCAAGGGGATGACTGCGTTCGGTGCTCCGCCGGGGAGCTCTTCCAAGTAGAAGGTGATAGGCTCTGATCTGCCCCTCACCATTTCAAAAGTCACAGTTTGAGGAGGAGCTTTGTCGACCAGTTCGTCCAACTTCCTCTTGGCTGAGTTGATGGTGAGGTCGTTGAACCCGCCCCCGTTGATGACCATGGCGGAGGGGAAGTATTCCCACCTGCTGTGTGTCGTCAGGGGCTCCTGCAGGAGCTCGGGAAGTTCGAAATCCTCGGGCCTGGTTACCGAGAAGGCGGTCTGGATTGGCACCGACTCGTCAGATGGTCGGGCATCTTCTTCGGGCTCCTTTGCCTCGCGGGCTTCACGACGGGGAGCGTCGTTTCTCCTGTACTGTGCAAGTCTCCCTCCTTTGATGAGGGTTTCAATGGCGTCCTTCAGGTGGACGCAGTCCTCTGTCAAGTGACCATGACTCCTATGGTACTGACAGTATTTGTTTTTGTCTACTCCTGGCTTGGCAGGAGCTGGTCGGGGACGCTTGACGCCACCGTCTTTAAAATCTGTGCTTGCACACTCCGCCAGAATACGCTCGCGGGAAGCCGTGAGCGGAGTGTACTCAGTAAACCGGCCCGAGGGGCCCCTTTGTTCCCGGACCTCCCGGGGTATGTCTTCCTTCCTCTTCTCTCCGGTGCGTCGGGGAGGAGGGTCTTGTCTCGAGCTGCTGCCATGATTGCGAGCCCTGGAGTCTCGTGCCCTGTTGGCAGCTTCTCTCTCCTCGTAGTCCATATATGCTCGGGCTTTGTCGAGGAGAGCATCAAAAGTTGCAGGTGGCTCAATGCCCACAGCTTTCCTGAATTCTGTGCCGGGGAGGAGGCCCCTCTCCAGCAAGTACCTCTTCATATGGTCCGCGCAGGGGACCTGTATCGCTTCCCGGTTGAAGCGGTTGATGAATTCCCTCAAGGTCTCATCATGTCTTTGGATGATGGCCTCGAGGGCTGCCTCGGTCTTCGGGTGGCGACGAGAGGCTGTGAAGGAACTGATGAACTGGTTCTTCAAGTTCCGCCACGAGGTGATGGAGCCCGGGGCGAGTCCTTTGTACCAGTCCATGGCCGCCTTCCTGAGAGTTGTGGGGAAGAGACGGCACTTGATGGGGCCCCCGACATTGTGATAGTGGAGCATGGCCTCGAACCCGTCAATGTGGTCGACTGGGTCTGCCACTCCATCATACTCTTTCAGGTGTGGGGGCTTCTCCATGCCCGGGGGAATAGGCGCGTCCATGATGGCCTGCGACAGGGGACCGCGGGGGTCGTCCTCGTCGCTCCTTTCTGGAGAAAGAGAAGGGGTCCTGTAGTGATGTCTGGCACGCTGGTCGTGCTGAGATTCCCTCGAGCGTGATGCTCGGTGGTTGAATGTCACACGCCCGTCTCTGTTGTGCCTCCTGTCGTGCCTCCTGTCGTGCCTTGATGGGTCGCGACTGGGCTCTTCGGCAGGGATGACGGGCTGTCTTTCATACTGGGGCCGCCTCTGCCTTGGTGGGGGAGAGGGGCTCCTAGAGTTCTCCCTGTAATGTCTCCGCGGGGGAGTAGGGTGTCGAACTTCTTCGACCCGAGGAGGTGGAGATGGTGGCCTTTGATGTCTCCTCGGGGGGCGACGATCATTTTCGAGTGCCCTTAGCCTTTCTCCTTGGGCGAACAGGAGATAGTTCGTCTGGTTGATGGCCGCGAACAGTGCCTGAGTCGTGGCATCTGCCCCGGCAGGGACTTGGACTTCATAGAACCGGGCAGCCTGGCGATAGGCGAGAGCCTCCGGATCGTCTTCGAGTCTTGGAGGAGTTGTCGAGGAGGACGCAGTGTTCCCGTCCCTGCGGGTGGAAGGTCCAGGGGCGGTTGTCACGGGGACAGCGTTATGGCCGGCATCACTGGGATTGTCCAGGTGCCCATTCTTGTCCGCGGGACCGTTGTTGGTGTCGAGGACGCGGGTGTGTTGTTCTTCACGAGTTGGAGTAGCCATGATAGTGAATGGATTGAGCTTTGGTCTCTGAAACTGTTCGTTAGACGGGGAAGCTGTTTCCCACAGACGGCGCCACTGATCTGACCTGATCAGAAGGTTTGGACCGTCACGGCTTACTCCGAGCTGAAGGCTTTTTGAACGAGGAGGGGGGGGGGGGGTACCTACAAGGCACTCCGATGCTAAAGTCAGTGGGAGTACGAGCAGATAATAGAGTTGAGGTTAGAATGATGAATACCTGACCCTCTGGAAACAGAGGGTATTTATAGCCCCCAGCGCTGGGCCAAGGTTCCTTCATTGGGCCGGGCGGATTTGGCCCAATGGAGGAACTGCCAGGTTCTACGTGGGTAGTGGGGACCAGCACGTGGTCCCCTTCCTGGATATGCTGCATGAAGTGCGGGCGGACGGAGACGCGGTCTTTCCGGAGTATCGTTGGGGCAATGGTGGACTAAGTCTGCCCTAGCAAGTTAGCTCGAGACCATGTCGAGCTGCGCAGCACGGTGCCGAGCTCGACGCCAAGACCTCGAGCTGGATAGCGAGTGTCGAGCTGGAAGTCAGGACATAGAGCTGGACGGCAGGCTGTCGAGCATGACTTCATCGTGGGGCTGGACACCGAGATGTCGAGGTGGACATCAGGGTGTCGGGCATGGACGTGACCCCCTTTGCCCAGTGTGGTCCTTAGTGAGTCCCTTTGGACTGGGCCTTAGTAATGCTTTTGGGCCTGTCGGGCCCAGTCCAGAACAACTACTATATCCTTATTTCTTAATTTTTCACGTTTTTTAACTACTATATTATCTATAATAAATAAAAATATTTTAATAAATGATACACCCCCTAATCACTATTATAAGAAATAAAAAAAATTATTTATTTATTGAATAATTAATATATCTAATATATAATAATATTTAGATTCATCGATTGTTCAAAAAAACTTTTTATTACTTATAATAATGATTGAAAAGTGTACTAATTTTATCATTAAAATTAATATATTTAATCATTTTTTAAAAAATATACAAAACATAAATAAGACTCTTATTATGATACAAATGGCGTAATTTATATTATAAATTAAAATGAATTATTTATTTTGACATGTTTTTTTATAAATAAGTCCCTTATTGTGGAACGTATATGCTGTTAATAAAAGTATAAGCATTATTATGCTAACATTGTGTTTGTTGGTGGCAGATGTTCTGGCTATAAGTAATGATATCAAATTCTTATATACTCATCTTATCTCTATCTCTTTACAAAAATATTTAGTGTATACACCTTTAAAGTTTGAGAGATAAAATGATAATTTAAGAAATATGATAAGTTGTTGATATATAATATGAAGAAAGATAGATGAAGACAATGTGTTAGATGAGTGTAGAAGAATTGAAACTCTAAGCATATCATTACTATATATTAATACACATCGGTATCATTCAAATATATAATGGAGAGTGTAGAAGGAAACAACATGGCAGTGAAAGTGGCTTTTATTCATGATGCTAATAAGCTCTCAAGAGAAGAAGAGAGACATGAAAATGTTGATGAAAACAACAATGATAGATTTGCTATCACTCAGTGCATTGGTGAAACCGATACTCATTTGGGTGCACTCATTACTCGCTATGCACAAACTCTAACCAACTATAGCTTGCGTAACTTAGTACGTGCTTCATTTTTCTATCTTTAGAGTTTAGCAGTTTAATATTACAACAAAAAATATATCTAACTTGGACTGTAATTATATTGTATTGAAGGGTACCCTACTAATCAAAACTTCAACTATGAGGCATTAGCACCATTGCTTCAATTTCACTTGAACAATGCTGGAGATCCATTTCTTGGAAGTAGTTTCTCTCTAAATTCAATGAAATTTGAAGTTAGTGTACTTGATTGGTTTGCTAAACTATGGGAAATAGAGAAGAATGAGTACTGGGGATACGTCACTACTGGGGGAACCTAAGGCAATCTTCATGGAATTTTAGTAGGGTCAGTTTTTTCTATCTTGGACTTGCTAAACAAAGTGGAAATATATTTTAGTAGGACTGATTTATATATTTAAATACAGGAGAGAGCAACTTCCAGATGGAATTCTATATACCTCAGAAGATTCACATTATTCAATATTCAAAATAGCAAGAATGTATAGAATGCAATGTGTGAAGGTTGCCTCTTTGATCTCTGGTGAAATTGATTGTGCTCAACTACAGACTTCTCTACTTGCCAACAAGGACAAACCAGCCATCATCAATCTAAACATAGGTACTCTCCTCTTGTCTAAATAACTAATATATGAATATAAGATATAAGACAGTCTTGTGTCAAAATTAGCATCAAAGAAGAGTAATAAAAAGATACAAACTCAACCGTGGGCAAGAACAACAAGTCAAGACAAATCTCCTAAAAAATAAAATAAATAAAATAGAAAAACAAAAACAATCCAACCAAACAGCAATCCAATCTATGCTAAAGTCCTAAGCATAACAGTTCTTTTGAGAGAGCAAGCTGGAGAGAGGAAGACCTAACCACCTGTAAAAAATAAATAAATGAGTATAGCAACATAGTTGTTTTTGAAAGACCCTTAGATGACAACTTTACTCGTAGATGGAATTTGGCAAGCAATAAAAATATTGCACATGTGGTAGTGTTGAAGCATGTTACTATTGAAATGCTTGACACCTTTGTTTGTGAATTTGTCCAAAAACGATCTGTTTGGTATAAAGATGGACAAGTTCAGCCTCTATGCATTTCGAAAGATGTTGGTTCTAGAAATTGTGCTTGTTCAATACACAAATTATCAATAAATTATTAGCTAAATTGTATGTTATGTTGATGAAATAATTAGCTCAATTCTCGGGTCGGTAGTCACATGCATTTCTTTCTTCAACATTTATTTTTAAATAACTTATGTGTCACCTTTGTTTACCTTTTGAGATTTAATTGTATTAGGATACAAAAATCGGATACATAAATATTGTATGGTTTGTTATGGATAATATTCAATATGGATGTGAATTTCCATTTTCTTACCTTTTTTATGTATTTCTTGACTCCTATGAGTTAAATACTAATATTGATATTTAGTGATATGTTTTTGTATTAGTGTTATATAAATTGGATTAATATTGCAATGTAGACGATATTCGAAAAGAATAATACAATATTTCTCTCACTCTCTCATTTATCATTACTCTCATATTATATTATTTTTGATTAATTTTATAACACGTTTCAACACAGTTTTAGAATTTCGAAAAATGAATATTGACACTAACACATATAATAAATATATTTGTCTCGTTGATAGTACAACTACTCACATAGTTTTTTAGGATAAAAAATATTTATCTTATTTGGTGAAGGGGAAAAGTGATGTTAGTACAATATCAAACACTTCAAAAATAATTAAGTTTTTGGAAAAGCCAATGTATTGTTATGTTGAAAAAAAAAATACACATTGATAATGCATTTTATTTCTCTAAGTCTCATAAAAATTTATTAAATTTTAAAGATACTCATTACAATATTTTTGGCTTACTGCCACGCTAAAATTTTCCACAACTCAAAAATTGTGGCCACATACAAGATTTGGCCAGGGTTTTTAAATCGTAGACATATGTTTTGAAACATTGAATCCAGAGTGTAAAACTGCGGTCTTTTCTTCAATTGTCACTGTTACAAAATCATACTTATATTTTAGGCGCGGCTAATAAACTGTAGATATTTTAAGAGAAACCGCGGCATTATAATTTTCACTTCAAACTGTAGCCCAAGCCCAAAAAAAATATACCCCGCCAGAATTTCCCTTTTTTTTAGTTTCCCTCTCATTAATTAGTGTTATTTCTATTTATTTATTTTTAGATTAAAAAAATGAAAAAAAAATTGAAAACGTAAAACATGAAGTGCCATAAGCCCATAACCTAATTGTGTATGAAGTGCCATAAGCATCTGAAGCATCTCCTTCCTAGATCGACGTCTCCTCTGTTCCTCTATCTTCCTCTCCTCTTTTCCTCGATCAATGCCTCCTCATGTTCCCTGCTTCTCCTCTTCCCTTTACGAGCCCCTTCTCCGCTTCTCCATTTATCCTATTCTCCTCTTCTCCTATTTTCCTCTTTTCCTTATTCGCGATTTTCTGTTACAAGATTGTAGTTTTTTTTTGCAGTTGACCTAATCTATATTTTATTTTGCAATTTTGATTCCTTTGTTGAGGTACCAACAAAAGCTTCCCCTTGTCGATTATCGTTGGAGTTACCGGTAGGGTTTCATTTTTAATTTTGTTATGATTTCATTGTTACCGGTTATGTTAATTTTGTTTTGCATGTAGATTTTGTTATGGTGAGTAACACTTAGTTTTTTAATGGTGAGTAACTAGGGTTGAAACTGATATGAATTTGAGGTTGAGAAAGTATGTTAGTAACTGATTCAAGTTAACTGCTATGTTATGTTGGTGTTAGTGATGTTAACTGTTAGTTAGTTCAATTATTCTTGTTAATTTTTGTTAAACACAAAAATTTCTTCTGGCTTCATTCCCTATATAGTCTACCTTAGTTTCTTTTCCATTCATGATCAAATTTTGGGATGTGTTAGTGTTTCAGATATAAATACTATCACGATTGTCTTTGTTCTAGTTCTAGGGAAAAAAATTCAACTGAGCCATCTATAGTCCTTGTCCTAGTTGATACAAATGTCCTGCATTGCTTGAAAGTAATGTGATATTCTAAGGCATATTTGTAGTATATCAATTTTTCATTCACATTTTGGTTTGATTATTCTGTGCAGTCTTTGGAAATTAAAGTCATTGCATCACTTTATTAATTGTACTGCAAATAATAAATAATTGCATTGGTTCTGTTAGTACAGCTCCAAAGATAATTATTTTGTATATGCTCATGTATGTGTTATGTATGCATACAATTTTGAATTTGTTCTGTATTGTGTGTTTCAAATATTTAGATTATAAAGTGATGGACAATGAGTGGACTAAATTTCCAAGATTTAATCAAGAGTACATCAACGATGTTACTAAATTTTTAGACTTTGCCTACACTAATGGAAGACCTCAAGAAGATGAGCTTTTATGCCCTTGTGCCAAGTGTAAAAATTTGTATTGGAAAACAAGAGATAATATTAAGGATCACTTAATAGACAAAGGTTTTCTAAAAGGTTATGACGTATGGTTGCACCATGGGGAGCAACTACAAAGGTCTATGTAAATTGGTGATGAGATGGAAGATCAAGAGGAATCACATGACAACATTCCTGGCTTATTGAATGACATACATATAGATAGGGAAAAAGCACATGGAGTTCATGAAGGTCCCAATGACGATGCTAGAAAGTTTTATATTTTGATTAAAGAGGAGAAATAAGAACTTTAACCTTGATGCAAATACTTCTCTACTCTATCATTCATGATTCGACTCTACTTGTTGAAATGCCTTCACAGCTGGAGCAATACCTCATTCACTTCCCTCTTAGAATTATTGAAAGAAGAAATGCTTGATGTAAACATTCATGTATCATTTTACAAGACAAAAGCCATGATAATTGGTTTACGCCTTGATCATAAAAAGATCCATGCATGCCCAAACAATTGAATGCTATTTTGGAAAGAGCATGAAAAGGAAAATTCTTGCACTATTTGTGAAGCTTCACGGTGGAAAGAAAATTATCTAACTGAAGGATGTGAGTCTGCACAATCGAAAAATGATTATAGAGTTCCTGCAAAATTTTAAGGCACTTTCCGTTGATTCCTAGACTATAAAGGTAGTTCATGTGTTCAAAGACAGCCGAGTCAATGAGATGGCATGAAGAAGAGCACTCAAAATATGGGAAATTAAGGCATCCTGCTGATGGTAAAGCGTGGAATAACTTTGATGAGCTCCATCTAGATTTTGCTCGTGAGTCCCGCTATGTAAGACTTGGCTTAACGAGTGATGGGTTTAATCCATTTAGGACAATGAGCTTATATCATAGTACATGGCCCATCTTGATGATGGTATGCAACATACCACCTTAGCTATCCATAAAATCTGAATATACAATGTCGTCATTGTTGATTCCTGGACCAAAATCTCCAGGAAACGATATTGATGTTTACCTCCAGCCACTCATAGAGGAGCTAAAGGAGTTATGGGAATCCAACATAGAGACATATGATTCTTCAATAAATCAAACATTTATAATACGTGCAAATCTTTTATGGATAATTAGTGACTACCCTGCTTATGCTATGTTGTCAGGTTGGAGCATCAAAGGAAAATTGGCATGTGCATGTTGTAAATATGACACCAATTCGTTCTACCTCAAACACAGTCATAAGATGTGTTATATGGACCACCGTATCTTTTTACCAAGAACTCATTCTTGGAGAGATGATGTCAAATCATTTGATGGAGAAGAAGAACATAGGACTGCACCATCCATGTTAAAAGGGGAATAAATCTTTGAAATCTTAAAAGATTTCAATAATGACTTTAGGAAGACGAAAAAGAAGAAAGTTGATGGCCCACGGAAGAAGAGGTCAATTTTTTTGAGTTGCCTTACTGGGCTCAAAATACATTGCACCATAATCTAGATGTAATGCACATTGAAAAAACATATTTGATACTATCATTGGAACTCTTTTGGACATCCCGGGGAAGACAAAAGATTATATTAAAGCCTACTATGATTTGCAAGATTTGGGAATTAGAGAAAGACTTCATTCAAGGGATATTGGTGGATGACGTACATAGTTTGCAAAAGCATGTTTCTCAATGACTCCGCACGAGAAGTCATTTTTTTGTGGAGTTATAAAGGCTGCCAAGTAACCAGATGGGAATGCATCAAATATTTCAAAATGCGTACAAGTTACTAACAAAAAAATATCCGGTTACAAGAGTCATGATGCACATTTCATGTTACACTATTTGTTGCAAATTGTAGTAAGAAGAACAATGCCCAAGGAGGTGGCAAACCAACTAATTCATCTTGGTTCTTTTTTCTGCTCTCTATATCAAAAAGTTATAGAAGTGGAAGATTTAGATTACTTAGAAGAGGAGATTGCATAGATACTTTGTCATTTGGAGGTGATATTTCCTCCAAGTTTCTTTGACATAATGGTTCACTTGCCTATTCACCTAGTAAATGAAGTTAAATTGGGTGTTCCTGGTCAATTTCGATGGATGTATCCCACCGAAAAATACTTATGTAAACTTAAGAACTATGTCCGCAACAGAGCTTATCCTAAAGGTTCTACTGTCGAGGGTATTCAGATGAAGAAGCTATAACATTTTTCTCAAGGTATTTTCATAGAAATGTAGGTACAAGGTTGAATAGGAAGAGTCAGAATTATGATGATTGTGATTCACTTGAAGTAGATTCAGATGATTACTTTACAACTGAGGGTCATCCTTTAGGGGGGCAGGTGAACCCTTTCATCTTGATGTGAAATCAAAGGATAATACCCATCGATATATCTTACTCAATTGCAATGAAGTTCAAATTTACATCAGGTACTACAATAACTATTTGTCATCCTATGTATTCATCTACTAATCCAAATTTTAGAGTTATGTTAACATATAAATTATTGACTTTTGTAGTGAGCATGATCAGAGTATTAATTCAAACACTAACAAATGGAAGTGGACCAAGGCCAAAAGTCAAAGTAAAGATTTTGGTGAATGGTTTAAAACACGTGCCCAGAAAGATGATGTGCCATTACAACTTGAAAAACTTTCTAGAGGTCCTAATTTTGTTGCAAAGAGGTATCCATGTTACATAATTAATGGATATAGGTTCCATACTACGAAACGAGATACAAATCGC